TGAAAGAAAATACAACAGACACTGAAATCCAGAGAATAGTAAGAGACTACTATGAACATTTATATGCTAACAAGTTCAGTGACCTAGAAGAGATGACAAATGATTAGAGTATAAAATACCTGAGATGGTCAGGGGAAAAATAGAAAACATGAACAAACAAATCATGAGTAAGGATAGAGAAGCAGTAATCAAAATTATTCCCAAAAAACAATGTCCATGACCAGATCATCTGGGCTGGAAAAGAATAAATCCCATTTGTGCCTTTTTTTAAATCGGTTTTACAGTGAACACTGATTAAAAGTAGATAAAGGAGAGTAATCAGCACCTCCTTAGAGAAGTACCAATGTGAATACAAAAAAAAGAATTAGTGGTTTTATTAGCAACTCATCTGGACTATGACTTTTTAATGCATCTGAGGTATAGCTGTGGCCAAAAAAACAGATTGCCAAAACACATAAATCCCCAAGAAGAATAATTCATATACTACACTTGAAATGTGTTAGTTTTCAGTCTGTATCTATCATCTTACCACTAAAGTTTATTTCTCCTATTCCTCACCTTATTGAAAAGCGAAAACTATTTTGTTTGATACAGATTATGTTAAAACTTAAGAAATAAATGAGGGTCTTTGATTAACCATGTTGGCACATTATTAGGTGAAATGTAAAAGTAAAAAACAAAAATTGATGCTCATCTGTATTATTAGTGCTTGTAAACTACAATTAAGATCAAATTATTAGTAAACACGCTTAATAAGAGATACTAAACATTATCACAAAAAGTGAGTTTATAATATTTTATACATGGCATTTAGGAAAAGTGTTTTCTGGGTTGATAGAAAAAAAAATGAGGAGATATTCTTTTACTGAGGAGAACACCCAAGAGCAAAACTAAAAAGTGCTAAGCCTACTCACCAGGGCATAAGTAAGTTTTCCTTTTGGAAAATCTGGAAGTGATGCCTTATGAACCATGTGTTCACAGAAGAAAGGCTCCAATTAAGTTTTATAAAATACATTATATTCAGAGCATTTTATAAAACTTTTTTGTAGTTATATTTCCAGCAGAGACATAAATATTTTCAACAATAATATAAGTGGTTTAAAATTTATATATTATACTTCAGTGAAATAAAATTACACTGATACAATTCACAGTCTTGTAGGGATAGAAAAATGAGTATGATTGTTCAAATATGAGCGGCTACATTTTTGCCAGATTGACTTGAATTTTCCCTCAGAAAACTGTTAAGAGGTTTCTTATAAATCTAATGGTTTTATTTTGTATGTTTCCCTTTCTCTGCACTACAGGATGATAATGATAGTGAGAGAGAAAGAGAAAATGAGTGTACATGTGTGTTGTGTGTGCACATATTGGTGTACACACACAATACACAAGTGAAACTCTATGGACAGGAATATTTTCATCTTTTTAGCCCACTGAGGTAAACTGTTGGAGAGGAAGAATTATCATTCTGTTTTCTTTCTTCTCTTGTCTACATTTTATACCCTGAGCTTGACCTTCAGTGCACACCTATAGCATGTGAATGACTGTGGTCAGTCTGAGCTTAAAATAAATAGAAAAAGCAAAAAATATGATGAGATCTCTGACAGCAAAGCACATGAAGAAGCATAGTAGCTCCACAGCCAGGTGCTGAGTGAACGTATGTTAAAAGCTGAGAGGGCAATTCCACTCCTAGGGATCTACCCAAAGGACACAAAACAGTGATTCAAAAGAGCACCTGCACACCTATGTTTATTGCAGCACTATTTACAATAGCTAAGCTTTGGACACAACCCAAATGCCCAAAAATAGATGACTGGATCAAGAGATGTGGTATATATACACAATGAAATATTATTCAACAATCGAAAAAGATAAACTCATGCCATTTGCAGCAACGTGGATGGAGCTAGAAGGAATTATGCTCAGTGAAATGGGCCAGAAGGAAAAAGAAAACTATCAGATGGTGTCACTTATAACAGGAATAGAGGGGAACCAAATAAGACTTCAGTATAAAAAACAATAATAACAATACAAAACACAACAAAGCAAAAACAGAGAATTATAAACCAGAGACATCCTGCAGGGGAGGAGGAAGGAGAGGGGTCAGAGGGAGGGAGGGAGGAGCACAGGGGACTGCTGTGATGGTGCACGGGTGCCTTGGGAAAGGAAGTTCTATGGGGACTCAATCAGAGGGGTGGGGGAAAGCAAATATTGTCCAAAAAAAATTTTTTTAATTATAAATAAATAAAAAAAAATCAAGGAAAAAAAGCTGAGAGGGTCATGATGCCCGGGTTAGAAACATAGACAAGGTTAAAATGAATCCAATCCTGCAGACCAGAGACACAGAGAGTCACACATGCCTATTTTGCTCAAGCAGCTGTGGGCATCTTGCATTTTGAATGAAGTAAATACCTGCCATCAGATAGAGCCATTGAACCTCATGGTCCAAAGCATCTTTTTTTTTTTTTTTTAATGGAGGCATGTTTTATATTTTTATTTATTTGTTTGTTTGTTTATACAAGCACTGGGTACAGTCAGAAGCTCCGGAGGGTGAGAGAATTCACCAGAGCCAGAGTGGGGAGCAGAGCAGGCAGAAGGACTGAAGTACACTGCTGAGGGGAGCAGCGGGCGGCAGGAGAGGTCTGCGCGCCATGTGGGACCCTCCCCTGGTGGCCGGGGAGCAGCCGGGAATTGAACTGGCACCGCAGAGGCCACGGGCAGCTTTGCAACCCAGCGCTCAACCGCCGCGCGACCGGGGAGGCCCCAAAGCATCTTATTCTTTAGTAGGAGAATAATCACATGACTTATCTATTTCTCTCTCCCTCTCTGTCTCTCTTTCTCCCTCTCTCTCCCTTCCATTCACTTTTAGCGTATATATTACTGAATTACCCTCTTCTAAAAAGGAAGCAGACCATAAATGTGATGAGCAGTGTTTCCTTCCTAAGTTATGAGAGATCTAAGAGATCTAATCTTCTGACATCTGAATCCAGTGACAATTTGTGGGGAGCAGCTGGCTTGTTCTATAGTTGGGGGACTCAGGGCAGGTTGAATGAAGCCACTACAGGACCTTCTTTCTTTAAAGGAAGGGGCTTATTTTGATAATCATATCTCTAAGATGGTTCTACTTGATACTGCAGAGATGTGAAAAAACCTTATACCATTAAAACAAAGTATAGCAATGACTTAAATTTAATATGAGTCAACAGTTTCTAGTAGTTGTAGAATAAAATAATGGATGACATTTTACTATATATTGAAGCAAAGTATTTGGCTTATGATTCTTTTTTTAAAAAAGATTTATTTATTTATGCATACAAGAAATGGGGTACAAGCCTGTGGTGTGGTGGTTGAGAGGACTCACCAGAGACAGAGTGGGGAATGAAACAGGCAGATCTACTGAAACACACTGCTGAGGGGAGCAGTGGACGAGACAGGAGAGGTCTGATGCACCATGTGGGTCATCTCCCTGGCCTGGGATCGAACTCCTGCAGCAGTGGCTGAGAATAGCTTCACAGAATGCGTCTTAACTACTTGGGCCACCATGGAGCCCCTAATTCCTGTGTTTTTACTTTTGCTTCATTAAAAAAGAGATAAACGTGAATCTATTTGAAACTCACTCAGTATCACAGAGAGGGAGAGGCAAGTGTGGAAGAAATGAAGAAAGATCTCATAATAGAATTGAAATGAGAGCATAATCTGGTAGGATAAGTAGAAATAAAAGTTTGGTTACTAGAGTGAGAAAAAGATAACAGAAATACACATTTGAAGTCTAAAGAAAATGAAAACAACAAACATATACTTTCTTCTCACCATTTTAAATAAACTGCTAATGCTTATTGAAAAGCATAAAGTTTAACCATCACCAAGGGAACCACACATGCAGCTACCCAAACAGGCCAGGTTCTGCCCTCACATCACCTTCTGGTTTGGATCCTCTCTCCTCATAGTTTTACCATCATCTAGGACTCTTAGTTTTGCCAATTTTGAAATTTATATAGCTAAGAAAATATAACAAATTGTTGTGCATCCTCCTTGGGTGAACCCTCTGCATCTCCTCTCCCCTCAGCTGATGAGGCTGGATACAAATCACAGTGGCCAGTGGGTTAGACACAGAGATGGACTGAGATCAGTGGGGGCCTAATGTGAACACTGGGGTGACATCCACTTCCCTGAAAGCCAAAAGGATGGTCATGATTATCTCAAGGGAACTTTGGGATATTAAACTTCTAGGAGAGTGAACTTTGAAAATTGTGGTCCTCTTTAATTATTTTGTTTAGTTTTTCTTCAGTTAGGTTTGCATGAAAAAGTCCTTCATTGATCTGCATACTTGGGTTCACTTTGAAACACAGTGAAGCTGAATAATCTATTGTGTACCAAGTGTAATCAACTAGGGAAAAAATTCAAGTGTGTGGATGACATTCTTTAAGTCCAGAGTCAGCAAGAAAGTTCTAAGATGAACAATGTTTTCCAAGAACTTTATTTGAAAACAGCTGTTACATCTATCTTTTCTGAATTTACCACCACTGATGTGGAAAGAACATTTTATTAAAGAATATCACAGAATGTGACTAGTGAGAATACCAACAGTGCAGCTGAATCACAAGAAGTGAAGTAAAATGAGGACAACTAGTGTTAGCAACAAGGAAAACATGCACCATGGTCTGTAAATGTCTGCTTTTACTTTCACATTTTATTTTGAAATGAATATAGATTAACAGAAAGTAGTGATGATAATACAGCAGAGGGAGCTTGATTCCACACTTCATTCAAAGTTCCCCAATAGTAATATCGCTATAGCTGGAGCAAAACGTTAAAAAACCAAGACATTGGCATCAGTACAGTCAGATTACACCAGTTTTACACACATCCATTTGCTTACATGTGTATATGTGTCTGTGTGTACGCAGTTTAACAAATTTTATAACATATAAACTCATGTCAACATCATCGAATAAGCCTTTCTTTTAAATTCTAGAAAACATGTTTCTATCAATTGTGTTGTCACTCTGAAGTATAATAGTTAAAGAAAAAGCAAGATAAATGTTAGATCCTTTCCTTTGCTTACCAGTTTTGCTTTTTGTGTTGGTTCATTTTGAGATAATTTTAGCATTTCCTCAGCACACATTACAACCTCTTCTGTGCCTAAAGTGTAGGACTTGCAATTCCAGTGAAGAACTCTGGATTCTACTATTTTACTGTTGTAGAACTTTGTAATACACCAGAGATTCTGTTATACACAATGTTTTCTCTACTGAGAAAGACACATAAATATGCAAATGCTTGAAAATCATTTATAGTTTGCCTAACTCTGAATATTCCTGCCCTAGAATTATTATTTTAAATGGAGTAGCCAGCTTCTAAAGGCCATTCAGTTACACTGAGAACTTTTCTAAGAGTTCGCCAGCATTGCTCTTATAGGTCTTGTCCTGTCCTGCAAAAGAATAGACATGGTTTTAGCTCCAACATCCATTCGATGACAAGCTAATTTTCACTTATTCAACACATTGTTTTTATCTGATTTCTGATATATTATCCATCATCTTTGAAATTATATTATGGATTTAAAATACTCCCATGGTTGTTCTGACAGGTATGATATCATTTCACAATTCCAATTTTGATGTACAATTTCAAATTATATCAGGGATATTGACCAGTGAAGTTATACAGAAATATTTCCCTTTTTTCCTTGAAATTAAATGCATCAAGACAACTGATTTTCACAGGAATAAGCAGATAAATATTAAAACCAAAGTGACAAATTCAGAAATAGTCATTCAGACTTCAGTGAAAATTACAAAGCAATGTGAACTTGTGGGTATGTTTAGGTCTTTCTTGGCCCTTGACACTACCTTACAGCTATTTTATAAAGGGAGATGCCTGCACAGAAACAGAAGCATCCAAACAATGGTGATTAACTTGTTACATATTTTGGACAGAAGTTGGCATTCTCCAATTGTCTCTGGTAAGGCAAGCTTTATAAGCCCATAAGAAAACACATCACTTATTTCAAAATGTACTAGTTTCATTCTTATGCACACCTCTTCTAAGTGCATCACCTAGACTGAAGCAAGAAGCTCATGTAGGAGCAGCAAAGAGCTCGTTGGCTGCACTGTGGCTTCTCCACCGCTTGCAGCTGGAAACTGTGTCTCTGTGGTGAGTGCTGTGAGCCTTTGGGTTCTCACACTGAACTAACACACCAAAGTTGATAAATTGTTCACTTCTTGATATCTAAAGCTGATTTTTACAAAGTATCACTGAAATGACAGAGACTTTTTATTGATCTTTAAGAAAATAACAATACATTATAAAGGTCTATGGTTAGTATTGTTTGATAAAATTTGGGCAGAAAGAGAAAACTAGGGAAGGGAAGATTTCAAGAATTGCAAGATGCATCATCAGTACCCAAATGAAACTACTCAGATGAGTAAAACTGTGCCAGTCAGAAAACTCACCCAATTTTTATTCTAAACTCTTATTCAGTAAAGGTCATTTATTTAAAAATCATAAGCTTTCACCAGATAGGTAGGTAGGTAGTTAGGTAGGTTGGTTGGTAGATAGGTAGATGATAGATAGATAGATAGACAGCTGTAGAGGAAAGAATATATAGACTATGATGTTAACAATTTTGGCATGTAATAATCTAGATAAAGGTACACATCATTTTTCCTTGATACTGCTTTCTCAGGCATGGTTAAATCTGAAATTATGTCAAAAACTAAAATAAGCAACAAAAACTGAAGGCACACTTGAAGCCTTTTTCTCTGAGATACAGCATCTAACATATCACTAAATCTAATTTGTGTATATTTTGGAATACACATATGTTAATAGGTGTGCACGTGCGTCTATCTTAGTCATCATTTCTTATCACAGTCATTACTCGGAAACCCGCAACTTTGACAAATTGAAAAAGCTTGATTCTTCTTGAACTCTTTACTTCAATGCTTAAATGTGTGTAATTAATTAATTTTTTCCAAAAAATATAAATTTCATTTCCTTATTTATTGTAGAGGTTCTGCACTTCTTTGGTGTCACAGCAATGGTCTGTGGCCCCAGCTCAGCCTGTGTCTGGCAGCCCTGGGTGTGACTGTGAAGGGGGAAGAGCAGGAGGCTTTGTATCCTGTGTCAGCCTGAGGAAATTAAAGACTAAGTGTAACCTGAAGATGTCACATCGTTCTCGCAGTCTTCAAGTTCTGTGTTTTCTGTGTAATCCTTCCCCCACATTGTATCCCACCTTTTGCTCTCCACCCCCTTTTCTTGGTTGGAGACCCACAGCCACAGTATCCAATACTAGGTCTTTCTTTTTGTTGCTTGGTTATATATATATATATTTTTTTTTTTCTGACACATTTTTTTTTTAAGTTTCTCAAAATAACTTTATTTAAGGAACTTTTTTTTAATATCTTAGGATTGCACATTATTGTGTAACACAGTGTGACAAATAGGAGGCAAAATCCATGATGTGGAGGAAGTGTTATTTGGATATATCACAAATCTCTTTTTTTTTTTTTTATCTTCGACACACTCTTACTAACAGATCCCTGCCCACTTTTGTTAATAAAATTACTCTTTCCTCATGTGTCATAAATATATCAGATAGCGCTTTACTAATTTTTCCATCTATACCAGGCCTTCGTTATGCTCTAATTAGCCCATTTTCCCCATTTATGATTACTTACTCTATTTGCATTATGTGTTTCTAATGGGTTTACTGATGTCAATTTTTCTCTAGTTTATAAACTCCATGAAAGCAGACACAGCTCTTTGACTTGTACACATGTTCATCTCAGTACTTAAAGCTCAATGCCCAGCCAATGGCAGGAAAAATCCTTGTTTGTGAATGGTATTCTATTCCTTTTTCCATCCATGGAGACAACGCATATTCAAACTCTTTTTGTTCCATTGTGGCTAACAAATTTGAGATATCTCCAGGCTCTTCAGAGCTATATTTAACCTTTATTTTGTTTTCTTATAAATATAATTTTCCTTGAAATTCAGCCCATTTTATTTTCTTACCTGAGCATTCATTGATCCTATCGATTACCCAATGAGACAAAGGAAGGACGGTATTTATGTAACCAACACTATGAATATGTGACATTAGTGAGAAGATTTACTTTCAAAGTACTGGAAGACTTGAACATCTTAAAATTTCTAAATACCTATGTCCCAGCATGAAGGGTTTTATTTAATATTTCTGTCCTAACCTGAGGCCCAGACCTGAACATCCGGGTTCTTGCCTGAAGCAGGTACTGAATGTTAGCTCCAGGGAAGGTTTCAAGTTTCCTATTGTGACATCTGAACCTTTCCCCCTGCTTGCTACTGAAGCTTGTTTACATTGGTGGTCTCTCCTTGCTAGAGATAACGAGAGACCTCCTCCTCTGAACCCTATATAACATTGTACACATTCCTGAATAAATGAGACTGGCGATGATCCTGGCTTTGTCTCCACTCCTCGCGTACCCCTGTCCCATACCAAGCCCCTGCTTCCTCCCCCGGGTACCCCGTTGATCTGCCCGGCTGGCCCGGACACTAGTAATGTTCTTTCACATTACTTATGTTATTTGAATCATTTTCCTATGTTACTAATATGGTTTATTATCATCTTACTGTGCATATTATGAATTTAAGCAAAATATAATACAAGGAAATCAATATACAATGACATCAATTTTAGGTAAATGAGTATTTCATATAGTTGAAGTCATAGCAATGGGATATATTTGATGTTCAATTTCTGTTATTTCTCTCCTTTCATCTGAGCTGAATATATTTTCTTCTTACAGGTACAATAGCCAATACTTTGCCATTCTTCATCACTTAACTGGCCATATTTTATTTGCATGGCTTTATTATCAGCAGTGCTCTGTCCTGGAATTTTAAGTCTAGAAGAGGAAATACTTTCCATTAAATGCTGAATTTGCTTCATGGAACATTGGCATTTTTAAGATCTATGATATTTTGATAAGCAGAAAATTTCCTTTCCTAGCTCTTCATCATTGTGAATGATAAATACATTGTGCTTTCCAAATTTTAAATTAAACCTAGAATTTGGATGGTACTAATGCCTTCACTTCTGACTATAATCTCCATAATATCAGGCAATTTCAGAGTATGTTCCACTTTCATTGGGATTTATGCATTGCCTTTACACATTACTGCTATATAAACATATTTAACCTTTGTATAGTACAACAAATCTGGTGTTAGTCATCAGTAATAATTGATTCTCTTCTGATAAAGTTTAATTTGCTCTTTCAAGAGTAAATATCGAAATCCTCAACACAGAAAGTATAAGCAATGATTCAAATGACAGTCTATTATAGCATGGCAATCAAAGTAAAGGAGGAAAATTCTCATGAAAACTGTGCTGTAATTCCGCAAGGAGTGCTTGTGATTACTACATGAATTTGTAGCATTACAAATGAATATGCAATCTTAAAATTTTTGGTAAATTTGAAGTTTTAATTTGAACACATAGCTTTTGTTGGGTAATCATGTCATTTAATGTGAGGATACTGAAAACACCTTTACATATTATGTTCACATGACATCTAAGGAGAAATCATATACTATAATTAGTTTTCTATATTTGAAGATCCATTGGACATTAATTTATTGTTAAGATTATTAAGACTAGGAAGATGGGATGAATGTATGATAATATTTCCACGGAGATATTCTTATGTACCTGACACTTTCAACATACAGAAATTAATCCTTTCACACCTACTTGTCATATCTACCTTATAAAATAGGTTCTCTTAGTCACCTTATTTATAGTGATGGAACAGAAACTGAAAGACAAAATTTCTGAATAGCAAGACTAAGATCTATGAAGAGTCAGAGCCAGGATGTCAATCCTGGCAGTTTAGCTTCAGAGCCCATATTATTAATTCCCCACCACATTAAACTGCATGAATGAAGATGGGGAAACTGGGTATTGATGTTTCATTTTTCACAGATCCTGCTAAACTGACTGTTAGAAATGTAGTGATCTCCCTGATCACATAGCAACTCATACAGGTTTGGGCTGCAGTAAATGGAATGAAAAAACAAAAGTTGGAATTCGGACCGAGTGTCCATTATTTCCCTCAAAGTATAAAACTGAAACCTGAGGGCCTCCCCTGCGGCGCAGCGATTGAGCGCTGGGCTGTGAAGCTGCCCGCAGCCTCTGCCTTGATGGCTTGATCCCCGGCCACCTGGCGAGGGTACCACATGGCTTGCAGACCTCTCCTGCCTCCCACTGCTCCCATCAGCAGTGTATTTCCTCAGACTGCCTGCTCTGCTCTCTGCTCTGGCTCTTGTGAATTCTCTCACCCTCCCGTGCTTCTGACTGTACCCAGCGCTTGTATAAATAAATAATAAATAAATCTTCAAAGAAAAAAGAAACTGAAACCTGAAAATGAACCTTAAAAATAAATACAGGAATCATTTCTTATTTTACAAATGATAGAGTGAAGGTTTCATTTACTTTATATTGACTGTTACAAGCATTTTTATAATATATTTGATTATGTATATATGTGCATATTGTTGGAGGTGTTTCAATTAGAATTTGAGATTGGAGATACATCATCTTGAGAAACATCACTCATCAGAGCAGCACGTGGAAATTTCAGGTTTTTAAAATCTATTATTTTTTGCTGCAAAATTATTAAGCTTTCTAAATGTGTTCACAGTACACAGAATTCTTGACTTATGATGAAGTCACAGTCCAACAAACCCATCATAAATTGAAAATATTTGAAGTCAAAAATGCATTTAATACCTTAACCTCCTGAACATGGTAGCTTAGCCTCATTCACTTTAAAAATATTCAGAGGACTTCTATTAGCCTATAGCTGGGCAAATTCACCTAACACAAAACATTTTAACATGTTGAATATCTCATGCAATTTTCTGACTATTCTACTAAAAATGAGGAAGAGTCTGGAGTGAATGAGTTACTGACCTTTGGGCTGGCCTGCCTGACTTGAGTCAGGGGCTCACTCTGCTGCCCACATTGTGACAGCATCACACTGCATTTCATTAACCAGAGACAGATAAAAATTCTAAATTCACTGCATGGTCTGTATATAATACCTGTAATTCTCATACTATAGAAATATCGAGAAATATTAAGTCAAATCATTCTAAGTCATGAACTCTCTGCAATAGACTACAACATAGAGTGAGTATATGGGCTCCTAAAGTTGAGAGATTGGTTAGGTGATTATTCAGAATGACTGAATTTTGTCAAACTTTCAGCCAATAGTACATGCATAGTCTGATAATAGGGTGATTAACTTCATACATAATTGTAGACAATTAACAATTTATCATAATGTGTAAGACTTTATAAGACTTTATGACTTTTTAAATTCTTAGTGGGTAGATTTTATTTTTAACACTCAAACCAATTATTTGGTTAATTTTATCACTAGTAGACAGAAGTGCCTTCTTTCTAATACAATATTCAATTATTGATGTTCTTATTTCACCTTTACGAGGGAGTCCATAGACATCTATGCCATGGTAAAATATCTGCACATTGAGTGGAGGTATATAACTATAATACAGTGGATCCCAAAGTATAGTATATTTTATAATTGTAGGGAATTATTTTTCAGAATGAAATTGAATATAGCCCAATGAGACAATCTGACTTGAGATCAGTAATATTTTTGAGAAAGTATAGAGTGGATTGAATATTGTCCCCTAAAATGCCAGTCCCCCCAAAACTTTATAATGTGATGTTATCTGGATATAGTTTCTTTGAAGATGTAATTCAAGTAAGGATCAAGATTAAATCTTAATGGATTGGGGCCTAAATCCAATGAGAGTGTCCTTCTAAGACAGAAATGGACACAGAGAAGAAGGACAAAAGTTCAATGTGAAGTTGAAGGTGAATATTTGGATGACACAAAATATCACCAGCACATCTCAGTGGCCCACGTCATTTAATATCCTCTATTTTTACTGAGGTTTCTATATTTCATTTACATATTAGTATTTTGGTAAACAATTTCTCCAATATATGCAATACAACAAATTGTTGTTCATCATCAATAACCATCAGTTGTGTTCCCTAGAAAATTCCTGCTCTTTTAGCAGAAAGGTAATTGCAATGGGAGCATAAAAATATACCAATACCTTGACTTCAGACTTTTGATTTCTGAACTCTATGATACAATTAATTTCTGCTGCTATAAGCCACCCACTTTGTGTCTGATAACAATACACCTATACCTTGACTTCAGACTTCTGATTTTTGATCTATATGATACAATTAATTTCTGCTGCTTTAAGCCACCCACTTTGTGGCTTATAGCAAATACAAATAAATACAGAGTTTGTGGCAAATAATTGTAAAGACTATTTAGTAAGACCTAGAGAGGGAAAGAGAGGTTTCAAGAAATTTCCTTGGAAGCCCATACCTTGCGGGGAAAAAAAAAATCTATATTGAAATTAAAATGACCACTCTGAGATGTGCTCTTGTAATCTTGTGCAGGACTCAATGACCATTAAGTACAATGGAAAATAATAATACCTCTATCATAAAACTCATGAGCAATTTAAATGAGCTATGAAAGTAAACTATTTAGCTTACTACTCTAATATTTCCCTAATTTAAATTTATTTTTCCTGTCTTCTCTTATGTAATCTGACATCTGTCCAAATTCCTAGTGAATATTTACACTAGGGAAAAAAATCACATTCTGGTCTGGAACTTTGAAACAGCAAGAGATTTACCTGTTTAGGTCAAGATTTGTGTTATCATACCAAATCCATGTCTGTAGTTTCCTGTTGTAGTATAAACCAATGAAAAACTTTTGTTGTTCTCCAGGGTACATCTTTGACACATTTATTACAAAATCCTGCAGAGACAAAAGTAAATAAATCTGAAAGTAGAACTTTCCCTAAGAAGAGTATACTCACTTACAACTTACATGTATAGACTTCTCTTTATACCACCTCTGTTCTAGTCTATGGAAGAATTAACTGTATTTTCCTCAGTTGCGTGTTTGTATGTCTACTACAAATAACTCCTTTATTTGAGCCATTGTTATTTTTTCTACATTATCTTTTAGTTATTTTCTTTGGTTATGGGTTTTAAAAATTAGCAATAAGGGTAGGAAGAGCACAAGGGACTAGGGTGATGGTTCATAGGTGATAGGTGATGGGAAAACTACGGGGACTACAATGATGAAAGAAAAAAATTAATGAAAGAAGACAAAAAAGTAGCAATAATACTTCCAGGTATAGTGACTTTAAGCACTGAAAGAGCAATTATAATTAGGTTATGTTATAAGTAGTGACACATGCCACAATATTGTAAATAAATACAGAATCAAAGGAGAAGAAATAGGGTTTTAAGAGATTATGGGGAGCTCAGAATGTTTTTCAAGGATGGTCTCAAGCTAAAATCTTAAGAGGGAGAATGCATTAACCAAAACAAGAGATTTGGGGGTGAATGGTAGAGGTGATAAAATGTGTCACAGTCACAAGAAACAATTTGAGAAAGACCTAGGAGCACAAGATCCTTCATGAGCCCAGGGCAGGCTGCTTCAGAGCAAGTGCTTGGGTGTGTAATGACAGAGGAGGCTAGCATAATGTGTAAGAATCAGGTTAAAAACTAATAAACAGATTATTTGAACTTTATCCTAACTGAAAAAAGTCACTTAAGTATTGTTAAGGCTAACATTCAAAGTGACAGTCAGATTGTAAGGATTCCAGAGACTGTCATATAGATGATGTCTTAGGGGAATACGTATCTTTTTTTTCAATTTTTTTTTTTTTTGAGGCATGTTTATTTATTTATTTATTTGTTTTGTTTTGTTTTTGTTTTTTTGTTTATACATGCACTGGGTACAGTCAGAAGCGCGGGAGGGTGAGAGAATTCACCAGAGCCAGAGTGGGGAGCAGAGCAGGCAGAAGGACCGAAGTACACTGCTGAGGGGAGCAGCGGGAGGCAGGAGAGGTCTGCGCACCATGTGGGACCCTCCTCCGGTGGCCGGGGAGCAGCCGGGGATCGAACCGGCGCCGCAGAGGTCGCCGGCAGCTTCGCAACCCAGCGCTCAACCGCTGCGCCACCGGGGAGGCCCAGGGGAATACGTATCTTGAGTGATGCTTGTCATTTAAAATTTTTTTGAAACAAAACTCACTAAAGTTAAGAAACATAATCCTTTCTTTACCACTTCATCTTCAGTATCCATTTTAAGAAATCTTGACTCTAGACGACTGCAAAGCCTTTCACATTCTATCCATTGATTTTTTTCTCTTGAGAAAAAGTAGCAGTTTTCTCCACGTTGATGCCAGTCAAAGGGACAAGTAGGATATATCCAAGCTATTAAAAAGGATAGAATATAACTGAATGCTTTTTGTCAGTGCAAGTCATCCAGTAAGTTTACTGAACTAATCACCCTTTACAAACAAACATCTTTGTGTCACATTGCATGTGTGAACACTTTAATTTAGTGTTAGATTTATCTTACAATAATGATGTCTTATTGAAGACATTTTGGTCTCCATGATTCAAGATATTATGCAGAGGAATGCATAATGAGAATTTTTAAATCATAAAAGTAAAAATATCTTAGGGAGTATAGCAAATTGTTTTATATAAATATATTCCTGAAAATTAAAAAATATATATATTATAGGCTGCAAATGGAGTCCTTCATGCAGGATCCCAAACAAGACTTTAAAATCTAACCTAATTATAGTTTCCTCCTCTCTCCACAGTGAATTCTGACCCCTTCAATATGGAGTCTCCTGCTCAGGACTAGGGAGGTCATCTGCATGATTAGACTCCAACTTCCCCTCATGGAAGGTGGCTTTGCCTGAAATAATCTTTCTTTCATTTTGTCAACAACATTGTCCCCCAAGTACTTGTCTTCAAAAACCTGCATTTTGTATAAACTCTTACAGATTCCTTGCATTTGCTCAATAACATGCTACCAATTCATGAACCATACAATAAAACAAATTGCATATTATCACTGCCATTTTTTACAATACATTCGACTTTATGATAAACTCTGTCCTATAGATGTCACTCACATCTGTTTACATTTGTACAGTTGTAATATCAAGCAAAATAGCTGATACAAAGTGAATTTTCTCCTCTCTCCTGACAATAAAATGAACATTCAGGGTTTTCTAAAATTACCTGTTTCATTTCCAGTAAATCTTCCAACCTTGAATGAGTTCTGGTTCACTGAAGAGAATTTAAAACAGCGTGTTTAAACTCAAAGAGAAAAATAATTGGACAATCTTTGTATTAGACACTGATCTAAATAGGAAATACAAAAATGATTAATGAAACATCACTTGCATTGAAGAATTTAATGCAATGGAGACATGAATATAAAATCAAACTATAATTATGAATATTCATATAGGACCTGAAGTCAGAGAATCAGAATAGAAGGAAATTTTGTTTTTTATAATAGTGATTTTTTTCAGAGTCAACAAAAAATAATTAAATGGAAAAAAGATGTTCATTAGCTGATCAGATAAATTGGAATCTTCTATAACCAGTTACCTGTAATCTCTCTCCAGTGTTGATGTTTGCATGCTACAGTTTAGATTATTCCTGGCAAAAGCACCAAATCTGCTTTGCTTTGTGTAGGTTAAGTAAAGTATCAGGCTTATCCACCCTCCTGCCATTAGATTAAATGCATGCCTGATGGCAGACACCTAAAGTAGGGTGTGGGCAAGCATAGGTGTGTACACCTGGGCTGAGGCTGGCTTATAAGAGCAGAACCAGATAGAGAACCAAAAGAGAGAGAAGCAGAGGCCACGAGAGAACTCCAGAGAGCCCAGAAAGAGTGAAGACTTGCCTCCTGATCCCAGGCACCCCTGCCTTCTATGTACCTGGTTAATGTGCAATAAAAGCCTGAAAAAGCCACCAAGGTCTCCAGGACTCTCTCCTTCACCCATCTGCTTGGATAATAGAGATCCTGCTCTATGCCATCCTGCCGCTACACTTTGTTTTATAAAAGCTTTCATTAAACTTGAAATAAAATAAATTTCGGAGAAAAAGTTGAATAAAATCAGGTCCAAACAAAACAAAAAGGAAAAAAAAATGGAAAGGAAGGAAATATTTCTGATAAAACAAATGTGAGAATGAATAGGAAGTAAGTATGGGTCATGAAATACTTCAAAATGAACAATTAGATGTGTCCATGAGAAATCATCTTCAGTCTCTGCAGAGAATATATGGTCAAGAGTGGATCAATAATGTATTACCTTCAACAGATTTCACTAGGTAAGTAGAAAAATAGTGTGTTTCCGTTTTACATAATGACTTACACCTTGCAGTTAAGAGTCCAACAGACAAAAGAAGCACCATGCAACAGATCCCCAGTATCACGGCAATGAATTTCCATGAGGGATGAGCAGGAAAATCTACAGAAAGAGATAAATACAAGTGTGACATCAGTCTCTACATGTTTCTTAAAGTAAATTTGAAATGATAGGCACATAACCAAACTTCATATGTTGATATATTCCACTAAAATGATGGCATGTAATGTGTGCAAACACAGAATCAGCACTTGAGAAGACAAAACTTTGAACTTATGCTGGCAAACAGATAAATCCAGAAAATAAGAAAATTAATTCTCAAGTCTTGGTAAGTATAAAAAATGAACATATCTGAACATATTCTCAGTATTTTCTTCTCAAATATATTGTCATATATATTGATGTTTTAAAATTACAGAAAAGGGTAAATAAAATAATTCAAGCAATACATTTTTTCACTAATTCAAAAAACATAGATTCAATGTTTGCAATACAGTAAAAATTACTAAACTTCATTTAATTTGCCCTAAAAGGTGTTTGGCTTTTATGCTTTATAAAACACAAATCTTCAAAATGTGTGTGTGTGTGTATTTGTGTGAGTATAATGATAGATAATCCTGTATACTTTAATGTAATTTAAGAAAAGGAAATGTAGAAAGCCCACATACCTTCACACCTAAAATCTGATAGAAATTTTTTTTCAGGTTTTTGAAGTCCTTGCCTTCTCTGTGGCTGAGATGGATGTTGAAGTCGCACATCAGAATAAACTACTTCACTCATTACTGAAGGGTAGAAAATTCATCAAATGAACTGAAAAAGTACATTTTAGATGACAGTCTATTGTTAAATTAATAAGTAAAATTCATGTTGAATAAAATAGTGTTGGGAATGAATTAAAAAAATGTAGTAATACCAAACACGAAAAAAATTAGGAAAGGAAAATATATGAAATTTTTTAGGATTAGGTCATAAGTTTCTGTAACATACCATTTCAGGAATTTTTACTGTTGCCTATTCACAATTATTAATCTTACATAAAATTATAAATCACTTATTTTATGTGATAAACATGTCACTCACCGACAAGTAAAAATTTACAGGTGATCTGTTTCTGTGCTGACATGCAGGGAATCAGTTTGTCTGCACAGCCTGCATCCAAGTCCCTCCTCACCTTCCCTGCTCCTGCCCCTGTCAGTCTCCCCTTTACTTCTACTATCCTCCATTTTCCCATAATTCCACTGGGATACCTCTTCTTTTTCAATATAACATAAATATTTCTCCAACCAAATATTTTATTTCAATTCTTCATTCTGAAGTATGCTTTCTTTTATTTTTATGCCTATTATAATTTTAGCTAACTCAATTTATAAAGCAATTTATACCAACTTTACTAAAACTCAGATTCTTCAATAAAATTTTTTTCATTCAGTTTTTCTCATTTTTCTTTATTTATCTTCATTCTATCAAATATCTTATTTTTTAAAGTCTCCCCATTATATTATGAAGCCCTTGATATGTTTTACTAATTTTTTGTGTCATAATTGCTTATTTGATTTCTTCATGCAGTATAAAAAGTTAAATTTACTTGAAAATTAATATTTTATACTAAATAAAGTACAATTCAGATGAAATTTGGAAACAATTTTCTTCATTATAACATTTTAGAAAATTTGAAAGAAATCAATGGGAGATGCTATTTTCTACAAGAAGATAATAGAACAAAGTCCCTATAATCAAGACACATATGTGGGAAGATTATGATTTCATCATGCTGACTTCATTTGCTTTTTTTCAACTCATAATTCATATAAATTAACAACTCCCAAGTGTCATAAAATGTCATAATAAATAATAACATTGCAAATGTGTAAAATCATTAAAATATATTTAAAATAGCCTCTTTAAGCCCATTCAAACACACCCGATTTTCCTCCTAGCATCTCCATTTTAACCAGCCTTTCCTCGTGTCTTTTTCTCTGTCTTTTTCCCTACTCTGGAAGCCATACTTTTCTTCCAAATGACACACAGAGTATACAATTTTTACATATAGGTTGCTTAAAGAGCCAATATATGTATTATTTGCAAGAAAAAACATATAATTCCATATTGAATAAACACTTTGCCTTTGAATATATACCTTTAATTTCCTTCCATCTTATTTCCCTTAAATTCTAAATAAACACATATTGACAAATAGAATAAACATCTGGGAAATGATAATTACCTGAAATTTAGAAGACAATGTCTGATATTTTGAAGAGTGCAGATATATGTCCCGGGAAGAAGCAGATGCAAACTCTTATTAAAGAAGTTGAAATTTAAAATTTTTGAGATTCCATGGTAGACATCTGGAGTCCAGTAAAGAAGAAAATAAATATATGCACAGGCTAATGATACCTTTGTCCCTCCCATGAGAGACACTGACAGGTGAGTACAAAGGTCAAGAACAAGAGAGCTCTGGATGCAACCACACAGGAAACTCTTCTACTGCTGCTCAATTTAGCTTTGCATCATCTCTAGATTGGGCCTTTCTTCAATTTTACCTTAAATGACACAGATATGCAATTATTTGCATAATGGCCAATCCCTTTCACTCAGTCCTTAGTGTCACATATATAACTGAATGTCATCGATATTCAACAAGATAACCTTCAGATACTTTTATTAATTTCAAAATACTTTAGGTACCCTCTATGTATCTTGAATGTACTTTACATTCTAAATTCAATTATGATTCTAGACATATTATTTGAGACACTTTTGTGATGTCTCTTGTTGACCCTTTCAGTTCCAGGGTAGGTGCTGTATTTCATCACTAGATTGTGGATATAGGTTCCTTTTCAGTCCCACTCAGCGTTTCTTTATTGTGGCCTGCCCAACACTTTCCATGGAGCATACCTATCAGTAATGTCACAGAAAGAAATCAACAGACAAATGAAAACTTACCAATGAGTTATTTACATTCATATCAAATATAGTTTTTCAAAATTATTTTATTTTTAGAAAAAAATATTATTCTTTGGAGAATTTTACCATTACTTTAGCTAGAGTTAGAGTTTATATTCATTTTGGTGAATATTTTAACATTTTATAAGATTTTTAGCTAATTAATATGAGCCATTTCCTCCTAATCTACAAGAAAATAGTCATAGTTCAAACTATTACTATTACATAAACAGAAAGATACTCACATAACTAAATAAAATGTGGAAAAAAAGGTAAATAACCCTTTTAAAACTGCATAATGATCACCAAATAAATTAAAAATAATAAAGTATTAAATCAAACAAAGTGGTAGATTTTACAAATTAAATTTTAAAAAATAAGTGTGATAAAATATATTTGAAGAGAAGAAATTTTTGGCCTCAAATATTTTAAAAATCAGTGTCTCCCCAGTGGCACCAGCATTAAAGTTTCAGCACTATCAAGCTATCACCAGCCACTGCAGCATGAGTTAGATCCCAAGCCAGGGAGATAGTCCACATGGCGGAGCAGAACTCTCCTGTCTTGACTGCTGCAACCTTCAGCAGTGTATTTCAGTAGATCCACCTGTTCTGCACCCCACTCTGTCTCTGTTGAATCCTCCCAACCCTTGTACCCTTGGCCTTTACCCCAGTTCTTGTATGCATAAATTAAAAAACATAAATCTTTAAAAAATTAAAATATATATTAAAAATCAAAATCACTAATATTTTAAGAGTAAAGAAATAGAAAACTCCTCTGAACTACATGCTATGCTGTAACCAATGATATTTAAATTAAAAAAAAAGAGAAAACTCTACTAAAATGCAACTATTTATCATCAGTGAATCAGAGCTTATTTAAACGCAGAATTTTTTATCCTGAAAATATCACCTACATCAAGGAATCAAATGAAACAGGTAATTTTGGTAATCTCTGAGTCATCATTTCATTGGCAGTAGAGAGTAAAGAATTAGCTGTGACTCAGCTATTTTGCTGATGCAAAAAATTCTGTACAGCAAGCAGACATGACTGAAACCAGCTTGTTAAACTGAATATTTCTCATAGTCACCTGAATTATTAAAAAAAAATTAACAAGTATAATTATATAGTTGGTCTTATTATATGATTTAGGAGTTGAACAGTGTCCTGTCTAGCAAGTTTAAGGGATCTGAAAAGATTTTTACAAAACAGATGGTCTTCAAAGATGATAGAGAGTGGGACAAGGTTGTTGGCAAAAAGAGAGAAAGATTATTTCAGGCACAGCCAACTTCCATTCAGTGAACTTAAAGGTTCCTCATCATGCAGATGACCTCAAAGCAAGTGGTGTTTTATTAACCATTTTCATATTTGCCAATAAGTACAGTGTCTGGCAAATAGGATTTTCCAATTGTTTTTTTCTTTGAGTTTAAATATGGCCTCTGAATTCTCTTCAGTGAATCAGCACACATTTAATGCAGAAGGACCACCAGGAAATATCGCGTACAAGGAAGCAAACAAAACAGGTAATTCTGGAAGTTTCTGCCTCATCATTTTATCTTAAGAAGAGATAATTAACATTGTATTAGCAATTTTCCTTGATAACTACAACTGTGTCCATCAAGTGGACCTGAGATTTTTATAGCTAAAAGACCGTGGGACAAATTTTTGCAAAAAAATAAAATTTTAGGCAAAGCCCCCTTCCCTCAGGATAGAACAGAGGGTCATATGCAAATGAACTTACTAGTGCTGAACAGGATACTCCAGATGATGGGTTTAGAGTTCACTTGGGGAGAGGAGGAGTTTAGTGGTTTTAAGTTTTGATGGGATCGTACATGAAGGACTTCAGTTGTGGCTATTATTTGTTTCTTTTTAAGCAACAACATAATTATATTAATAGCAATATATTATGTTTCCTTAGACATTTTTTAAAGATTTGTTTTATTTATTTATACATATAAGAAGTGGTGTGCAAGTCAGAGGTGCAGGGGTGAGAGGATTCACCAGAAACAAGAGTGGGGAGCAGAACAGCAGGACTTACTGAAATACACCATTGAGGGGAACACCAGGTGAGACAGGAGAGGTCTGCTGCACCATGTGGATCAGTTCCCTAGCAGGGGATTGAACTCATGCTTCTGTGGCTGGCAATAGCTTGATAGCACTGAGACTTTAACCCTTGCACCACCAGGGATGCCCCTTCTTATATATTTTTATTTTCTCATTGAAAGATTCTCTCCCTTATGCATTTATGCATCTTGAAGTACATAATACTTTCAATGATATTAGTTATTAATGTAAGATCAAAGTAATACTAACATAAAGTACCTGCAAATATAAAATAAATGATGACTGTAGAAGACAGATTTGCTTAGTAAACTTCCTTGCACTGACAGAATTGAATGATAGGCTTTCAATTATATTCTTTTTTAATAGTTTGGAAATATCCTATTTGCTTGCACAACTGGCATTAGCATGGAGGGAACTGCTGTTATTTCTCAAGAAAAAAAGTTCTTTGTAACAAATTTGAAGATTTCTGCACTGGTTTAGGGTCAAGATGTGTTTCTTAAATATTTTGAGTGTTTCAGAAAATTTAAAAATGACAGAAGTCATTCAAGATTTTTATTCCTCAAAAACATGTTCTATATGGCAGTTATAGAATAGGAATATTCTATGGAATCTTTACCATTTGACTGTAATTTTGAATGTTAATTTAATAGTACTTGAGTCGCTTTCCTCAGCTCTTAGTATAAAGCACAAATGATCTGTTTATTAACTTTTAACCTGACTCTCACCTGTTATACGCATGTTCTTGCCATCATGGACCCCCAGCAGCCTGTCCTAGAGCAACCTACTCTGGGCTCACAATCATGAACTTCTTTACATTCATGAAGGCACCTGTGCGCCTTCATGTCTTTGTTTCTCAAATTGTTGTTTCATCTGCATGAGACATTTTTTTTTTAATCATGTACTTTTTATTTTATTTTAGTATATTCTGTCTTTTTTTTTAATAATAAATTTTATTTTTATATTCCCCATACAATTGCAGGCCCCCCATTCTGACCCCAATCCCTCCCCTCCCGCCCCTCACCCCCAAAAAGTGTCTCTGGTTCATAGTTTTTGTTGATTTTGATTTTCACTTTCTTATAGTTATTCATTTTCCTGGTCCCTTATTTAAGTTTTCTAGATTCCTGCTATGAGTGAGACCATCCGGTATTTTTCTTTTTCTTTCTGGCTTATTTCACTGAGCATGATCCCTTCCAGTGCCATCCATGTTGCTGCAAATTGCATGTGTTTATCTTTTTTGAATGCATGAGACATTTTTATCTCCTCTATGTCTCATCTGCAAATCTCTTTTCTTGGTTAATGCATCCTAAGTCTAATAAGACTTTACCTTATTAGAAAATCCCTTCAAGGGCCTCCCCTGGTGGCGCAGAGGTTGAGCGCGCTGGGCTGCGAGGCTGCCCGCAGCCTCTGCAGCGCGGGTTCCTTCCCAGGCCGCCAGAGAGGGTCCCACCAAAAAAAAAAAAAAAGAAAGAAAAGAAAATCCCTTCAAAAACATTCAGGTCTTATCACAACCTGATAATACACCAGTTACTTCTCCTTTTATTCTGTATTTATGATCTTGTGACATGTGTCACTACCTAATTATGTGTTCTATTTTTTTCAGTTTCTAATCTAAGTGACTCCAACTGTAAGGTTTTTTGCTCATTTTTACAACCCATAACCAAAGAAATGACTAAAACAATTTAGACCAAACAAACAAACAAACAAACAAAAAAATACATCCTTCATGAATAAAGAAGTCATTAGCAGTAAGTGTTCTATCCTGTGTTTAGAAAACCTGCTTATCCTTCCAGATCTTTGAATACAATAGAACAGAAAGCCTGAAGGGAAGTTTATGAATGAAATAATGATGTTAAAACAATTATGTTCCTCTTTCTGAGAAGTTGTACTTTCTGATTTATTTTCTTTCTCTGTAGATTTTTGTAGTGAAATTGTCAAAGACGCAATGTGACACGCAGCAATAAAAGTTTCCGATAAGTTTGTACTACAACAGGGAAGACTAAAATAGGTTTGGCTCAATGCACAGGTCCTAACCTGAGCAAGTAAGTTGTTTGCAATTTTAAAATTCTAGACCAAAAATTCTCTTTTTTTTTTTGAACTGTAGATATTTACTGTGCATATGAACAGAATTTAGATTTTGTAACAGCAATATACATCATAAATCAATCTGGAAAACAGGATGATGGAAAGAAGGCTAATCATTTTACTTTCTTTTTTTTGTATTCAAATCTCTGATTATTCACACCAAGAGACTGAAGTTTCTGTGATCTATAATCATCCACTTATACATAAAGAAATTGATTTGTAGAGAAGCAATAATTAGATAGTCTTACCATATAAACCTGAGATTTATGCTATAGAATAGCTTACTTTTGTATTTTTACTGTTTCCAAATCTGATGCTTCTGTGATTGTTGATTATAATTACTTATAATGCAAAAGAGACCCTTGGAAATTCTTTTGTGGCTAGAGGAAGTACAAAATACAAAACTTCTGGGCCTCCCGGGGTTGAGCGCCGCACTGTGAAGCTATCCACAGCCTCTGCAGCGCCGGTTCCATCCCGGCCAGCCATCGAGAATCCCACATGGCACAGCAGAGCTCTCCTGTCTCGCCCGCTGCTACCCTCAGCAGTTTATTTGGTCAGTCTGCCTGCTCTGTTCCCCGCTCTGTCTCTGGTGAATCCTCTCACCCTCCTGCGCATCTGGCCTGTACCCCAGTTCTTGTATAAATAAATAAATGTTTAAAAACAAAACAAACAAAAAAATACAAAACTTCTGACTGAATTAGTTAACAAATCTTTAATCTCATCAGGCAATTGCTTTACTGAAGTCTTGTAAATAAGAAGCATGGGGTCTCATAATTCTGTTAATAAAATCACACACAATAAAATCCAGGATAATAATAAATCACATATACAACAAATTCTTAAATCATTTTTCATTTTTTGCACAGTGTGCAAAAATTTTACTTTCTTAAGTTATTTAGATTGTTCATCAGTTTTATGATTGAGGTATTGTTAGGGGGCAAAGGATGTCCCAAAGCTATTTCCATATAGGCTTTGTGGACTCCACCCCCACCCCAGGTCAAAGCCAAAGACACTGGGAACTCCAAATCCCATCACCACCAAAGGGAAGGTGGCTGGGACCTGAGGTTGGGGTTAAGCAGCCAGGTGGATAGAAAAGGCAGACACGTGGGCTTTGGGGGACCCATTTTGGGCTCTCCACCAGCTCGCAGTGTCCGGCCAGCTCTGAGAGTGCCTTTGGGTTTCCAGGTCGGTGGATCGGGTAGGACGCATTAAAGACTTTATTTCCCTATTTTCTCCCTGAGTTGTACATTTTCCTTATTTCCTTTCCTCTTGTAAATAAACCTTTTATTAACCTTTTTGTGTGTGTCTGTAGTAGAGTATTCATAAGTCCCTTTAAAGTGCGCGGGTGAGGACCCACAGCCAGGAACCCGTTTAACATCGGGGTTGCTCTATAACAGTATGACCATTCTGTAATTAATCAAAAGGTAATTGAATATAAATTTTCACAATATTTCAAGAGTACTTACTGGAGTTGTCACTTTAATTTTAATGTTGTTTGTTTGATTCTAAGACCTATGCTCACAAAGCAATTTTCTTTAAATATCTCACTCCCTCTCTAGGGCTCATGCACAATCTTTGTTGCCACAAATTGAATTTGTATTTGTTATAAGGCAAGCACTGGGTATTTTACAGCAACAGAATTCTATTCTCTTAGAGGTAAGAAGGCAAAAGTTTGCAGTCAGTTCTTTGGTATATTTAGTCTCTTTGGAGCTTCCTTTCTCTCAAAAGACCCAGCTGAAATTTTCTAGAGACAAAATTAATTGTTAATGATGATAAACAGCAATTTGCTATACTGATTAATCTGGTAATTATACTGATTTTGATTATACTGTAATAATTATTTCTCAAAATACTTATCTGTAAAGGAAATACAGTAAACCTCAGTGAAAATGGAAGATATTATATGCACTGAGCCACAGAGACTGGCTGGTGGTAGTGACATCACCCAAACATACATTTCCAACTTCAGGCTGCTGCTTCTCTGCTTCTTGCTGTGACAATTTCTCTTTATCAGGATGCTATACAATAATTTTGACTCCCATCCAACAAGATTTCATTTTAGGCTTTACCCTAATATACAAAGAAGCTATTTCCAGGTCACTTCACATTCTGAGGCTCTGGGTGGCATGCATTTTAGAGAACATTATTCAATTCACTGCATACTTTCTCATAAAGATTACTGACAATTTAATTCATATTTTTAAAATTTACTATGGTGTGAAAATCCGAGACATTTGGTAGACACGATACTCTGAATTTTAAATTTCTCCTGGTTAATCACATGCAGTGTGACTCTCCTGATGTGTGCAGCTCCTACTCAGCCAGGCAATGCTGAGTCAGCAAACCATTCTCTGTAGACTATTTCTCATTTCAGTACAATAAATTGTGTGAGATAGTCAACAGTGTAAAAGAAGCTTTGTTTTTCATGGTTTTGCCCAAATGTAGGCTAATGTAAAGCGCTCTGAGCATGTTTAAGGGAGGTGAGGCTAAGCAACCACATTCAGTAGGCTAGGGGTATTAAATATGTTTTGATTTAAGATATTTTTAATATGATGAATTTGCCATAATATGACCTCATCATAAATCATAAAAGATCTATATTGTGAACACATATGATACCTAGTGACAACTGCATAGCAAAAAATAATCAAAGAGCAGAAATTTTGTTTGCTACTCTGATGAGTTAAATTTTTCAAGATGATGTCTCTCCGATCTACAATTCTAATTTAAACATTCATTTGAGCACATGTAACCTTGCACCCATAATTAAATTGCCAAATATATTACAATGTTTGTAGCAGGCTATATAAAATAAAGAAACCATTCCATTCTATCATTTACAAACCAAGTTTCAGATTCATTCTATTTATCTTTTTTTTTTAAAGATTTATTTATTCATGCATAGAAGAACCAGGGTATAGGCCAGATGCACAGGAGGATGAGAGGATTCACCAGAGACAGAGTGGGGAACAGAACAGGCAGATTGACTGAAATACACTGCTGAGGGGAGCAGTGGGTAAGGCAGGAGAGGTCTGCTGCACCATGTAGGTAGTTCCCCGGTGGGGGATCGAACCAGTGCTTCAGTGGCTTCGGATAGCCTCATAGTGTTATAGGACAGGGAGAAGGGCAGCCCAAACCCCGCAAACCTGCCTATTCTAAATGGGTTCTGCCATCCGCCGCATCAACACAAAACATAGGAGACTTTAATGGGAAGGAACTTTAATAAAACTAGGAAACAATACAGGTAAGGCAAAGAGTCTAGTTTCTAAATGAAGCACCCAAAGTTACCCGTCCCCTCGTGGGTAAAAGTCCATCCATACGGGATCGGCCCAGAACAAGGCCCCAAAGCCTGCCACAAGTCTAAAGCATCTTCCAGTGGGGACCCACAGAAAAGGGCCAGAAACAACCGGACAAACCCGGAAGGAAAAGAGCAAAATCAACATCAAGATAAAAGCTGCCATTGTCACCTCCCCTCGGATCTCTCACCCACATCTGTGTCACCCAGTCTACGACCAAAAGACAAGCGCAGTTTCTTCACGTGTCTCTAGGCTCCACGCGCCTCCTCCAGGTCTCCTGGCTCCATCCTGCTTCCTTCCTCAGTCTCTTCTGCAGCTTCTTCTCTTCCTGCTCAGCTCCACCCTTCCTTGGGCGGGGCAGGGAAACTCCCCCTTTCCTGGGGACCACCCTGTTACAATAGTACTGATGATTAACCCATTGCTCCAGGGAGGCCTCATTAATATTTCTTGAATTTCCTCTTCTTTACTCTCTCTCAGAAAAAATAATTAAGGAAAAAAGTATCATCTGTGATTGCCCCTCACCTCAAAGTTATATCAAACAGAGATACCTGAACCCTTTAACCTTTCTTTTGTGCATCTTTCTCACTTTTTTTCTTTGGCAACAAGTCCTTTTTCCCTTACCCATTTCATTGCTGTAGCCTCAGGGATCCACTTCACTGTAAAGCTAGTAACAGGCAGGGCCACAGTCCTGGATCTTAAGTGATAACAGAGCAGCACTTAGTGAGGGTGGCCAAGAGGGCAGCCCAGTAAGGAGGCTGAGCTCATCTCCTCCAGGTACTCACAGCAAGGTAGTCACAGAACAAAGTGAATCACTTTGTAAGGGAAACTCAGATTAAAGCACATGCTAGGAGTAAAGTCCAGAGGAGGGGGACCTCACCTACCTTAGAAAATGCCAAACTTGCAGCCCAGCCAGGTGGGTAAGGCAAGACCCAGAGGCCCTGGGTATCCTGCAGTCTGCCTTGTGGAACTGGCAATCCCCT